AATTCTAAAACAGGACTGTATTCAAGTTATAGGCCTCAGTTGTAACATTGGTTGGTACAGGCACCGAGGACAGCTCCAGATCCACTGGCGTTCATCTCAGCCCGGCTTGCAGGCTTCGTTCGCGATGAGGAGAACCACACTGCTCCGGATGGACTCGGGATGCGCCCTGAGTAGCTGCAAGTGCCCCCCGTGCAGGCCTCTGGCTTCAGGCACAGTCTTTTTTTTTTTTTTTTTTAAATATATATATGAAGAAAAGGCAGTGAGAGAGAGAGAAGGAGGAGCAAGGAAGACAAAATTTAAAAATTACTCATTATACTATCATCCAAGGGCAATCACTGTTACCATCCGGTTTATTTCTTTGCAGTCATTTTTCTATACAATTTTTACATAGTTCAGGTTATGAACAATTTTGGTTTTTCAGTTAATACTTTAATTTGAGCATTTCCACATTACTTAACATTTTTCTTCAGTACTTTTGATAGCTGTATGATATTCCATCATATGGATATACCCTTATATATTTAACCATTTTCATGTAATTCAATATTTAGATTATTTTAAAGTTTTTCTATTATGGATAATGTAGTGGGGATCTTATGTTTTTTTCTTCCTGCATTCCTTGCTATCCTTTTTTTTTTTTTTAGGAATAAATTTTAGAAGTGGAATCACTGGGTCAAAACATGAAGCTGTTGAAGGCCCTTGATACATATTATATTGCCGAAGTGTTTTCTGAATAGATCATAAAATTTACATTCCCATCAACCAAGTGAAAGCCATGCTTCCCTTTGGTAAACTCTTTAAAAAGAGGGTGATTAGTGTTTGTTTGCTAAATTGATAACCAAAAGAAAAAGTATCTCATGTTTAATTTTTACTTCTTTGATTATTTATTTTTCCAAATGCTTACTAGTATTTTTATTTCTTTTAGTACAAATGACCTATTCATGCTTTTCTGATCATTTCCAAGGCAAAAATGTGAAGTTGTTCTGCCAGCTGTTTGAATGGATTCATCCTAACCTGAAAAAAAAGGAGAAATAGCAAAGATAAGATTTTTATCTACCACTGTTTGTACCTACAGAAGGAATATTGATGCTGATAATAATAGGGCTTTATCCTTCCACCCCTCACAACCTGAGAATATGTGTTACTTTCCCAAGACATGCATTTTGCCTATAAATAAAACAAAGCCCCTGCCCACATGGCATTCAGTTGTTACAGGATTACAACCATATAGACACACACATATGTTTTATATACACATATATGTTTTATACATACATGTGTTTCATATTTTTAAATAATAATGCACATGAAGAATATGGGGGAAGGGTAGAAGAAAATAAAGTTAATGTATTAGGATCATATTCAGGGGGTGGATTGTAAATTCTTTTAAGAGAAAATGTACTAATTTTATAATGCAAAACTCAACTTACTTTTATTAAAAATACAAAATTCTGCCCATTAGGAAGGAAGTTTAATTGAAATTATAATAGCTGCTCAGGGGAAGTTTATAAAGCTCAACTGTGGTAACTCATAAAGGTAAATTGCTCGTGATGATATTGATTCAGTAAAGTTTTTCTCTTAACAGAAAACACTTCTGGTCAATATAACATTATTTGTCTAGAGTGGAAAGTACAAAGTGCTCTTAGGAGAAGCAGTGAGATCATTTCACACTGAGAAACATCTTATTTGGAGATAGCTCCCATCTCTAAGTTAGAATTTAAAACTGGTTAATAGTGTTATCGGAGTTAGTTACACAGTTCTTGGCCGTGGTAACTGCTGAGTGGGGTGTTGAATGTATTAGCTACTCCATGATAATTATCACATCCAATTCTCATGTGAAAACATTGAAGTTTAGAGAATTTAAATGTCACACAGTATACTCAGTATCCCAAGTATCACTTAGCTTATCCCCCTATGCTGGTCACGCTTCTGCTCGAGGGATGTCTTCTCTCTCTCTTAGGAAGCCCTGGAAACAGCCCTCCAGTAAACTCACCCTTAGGAGAAACCTGAAGACACACTTTCACTTTTTCTTAGGGGCCCTCCAGAGAACTGTCACATGTAGCTAATGCAGTCATCCCAATCAACTACGGGCCTCTAGAGTCTTAAAGTTCTAGGAAATGCAGCCCCTCCCAGGAGAACTCTGACTTCCTTTTCTCAATACTCGTAATGGTTTCATCAGACCAATATCTGAACAAGCCCCTGTCAAAGAGATACAGGCTCTCTCTGGAGCCACAGTGTTAAGATGCAAGGTTAGGCAGCCTGGCAAGTGCATGGGGGCTCACCCTAAAGGATGGTCTGGTTTCCATAGCAACATTTATTCCCTTCCGTGAAGAATTCTATCATCTCTTCTGCCCACTCAGACTTTCTAGAATGAATTGATTTTCATAACTATAGGTGCTTGCTCTTTATCTTCCAAAGAGAAAAGGCATACTCATCTGGAAAAAAAAAAAACAAGCAAAGACACTGACTGCAGCTAGAATGCTGCATTGCATCAGCTGGTCCTCCTTTCTTTTAAAATTCCACAGCCTTTCTCCATTTTGCTCTGTTCTCTAGCCTCATCCGTCATTTTTGGGAAACAGGTTTTCTCTGACAGAAAACAAACAGATGGCAACTCTGTCTTCCTAAAACTTGCTATGACGGGGCTGTAAAATGAAGTTTTCAACAAAGACTCTCTGAAAGCCTGGGCTTAGGCTGAATATGATTGGAGGGGCGAGAATAAGGACTGCTGTCCACATACGGCTCCCCGCATAGAAGTTACAGTCTCTGAAGTTTGACCATTACAGATCTGTTTCCTTGGGTTAGGCATTGCTCTCCCAGGCAGCATTCCTTCAATTGCATAGACTCCTGTGAAGAGTAACTATTAGGTTACTAATGTACAAAGAACTTAAGGAAAGGAGGCGGTGCAGAGGGAAGGGTATGAAGGAGGCTCTGAAGACCACCTTTGTCTGCTTCACAATGATATTTCCAAGAGGGGCAGTGCAGGCCCTTGCCTGGGTTCTTGCTCCTTCCTGGGCCAGGGTACCTTGTCTGATGATGCATTGAAGGCTTTATGAACTGGGGGAGTTGTAACCAGAAAAGGGGGACAGAAAACATTTGTTGTTTATCAACTTTCTCTGCAAGGATGGCTTAGAAGATGATGCCAAGTCAGCTCCACTCTGAGATGACCTTGAATATCAGAGTGTGGCACAGATGGGATACAGAGACATGTGACAACCTAGAGCTGTTTCTCCAAATCTTCCCCTCCAGCTGGGTGCTGAGCATTTTAAGTACCAGAGCTCATGTCTGCTCATGTCCAATTTCTTTGGCAGACCCTGCAGGGCTATGCACATCATTTTATTTTATTGCATGTGTACAACTCGTGAGAGGATACAAAAGGCCCCTTATTATGGGCAGATATGCTCAAAAATTGACACACTGGAACCTCTCTTGCAGACCTATTTTTCCTAGGAGATAAATATTCCTCCTGGTTAGAGAGATTAAAGACATTTTCCCTTGTAATATAACTTGCCTATTAAACTCTGATCCACCTGTGATTTAGTTAATATCTGATTTCTCCAACAAAGCACTGTGGTTCTCAGGTACAGCACGGGAGTTTATGAAACTGGTCTGAACTTTTCTTTTGTCCCTAGCCTATCTTCAGGTCACTTTTTGATTTTATTAGTTCTTAATTTTTAATCACTAAGCATGCCCAAGTCTTCTAATTCTTTTTTCTTTCCTTTTTCGTGTTGGAAAAATTTTTTTTTCTAATTAACGGTGAGATAACAAATCCTACAATTTCTTATTGTCTTTTATAAATATAAGATAATGGAGGCAATAAAAGCATCCGAGAACCTATTTGGCAGAATCAACTTTCTTGCAGGGTCCCATTATTATTATCATCTATTCTGAGGAGGATGATGATAAGGTACTCTGAGATTCCAGTGAGGAAGTGGAACTGTAGAAAGGAAACAACATTAAAGTTTTTTTAAAAGGATGAAATACAGGGAATATTATTGTACATTCACATTCCACCATATAGACCATCTAGAACAAAACGACAATGAGGAATGATGAAGGTTGTCAGAAACACAAATCACTTTATAAAAAAAATTATTTTTAGAGAAAGGGGAAGGGAGAAAAAGAGGGAGAGAAACATCATGCGATAAACATGGATCGGTTGCCTCTCGTAGGGCTGGTACTGTCAACCTAGGCATGGGCCCAGACACGGAATCCAACAGGGGACCTATCACTTTGCAGGGCAATGTTCAACCAACTGAGCCATGCCGGTTAGGGCACAAATTACTTTTATAAATGAAAATAAATATAAAATATTTAATAAAACAATATATTAAAATATGGAAATAATTCACTTTTAAATTAGAAGAAAATATTAACTTTCGTTTTTCAGGCTACACATAAGCTAAAAATAAATGCCAACTTCCAGGAGCTAGGAAAACAAGTCAGGTTACAGAGAAAAGCCTGAATTCACGCAGAACTTGATCTTCTCATTAGTGATCTTCTCTGGGTAGGACTAGAACCCACGCTGGGATACATTTCCACATTTCAGTGGGTCTAGAAGTTCCAAGCTAAAGGCCATTAAAGGGCAAAGTGCAGCTGTCCTGGGTAGGACTAGAACCCACGCTGGTATACATTTCCACATTTCAGAGGGTCTAGAAGTTCCAAACTAAAGGCCATTAAAGGGCAAAGTGCAGCTGTCAAAACGATAAGCAGGGGCTCGGTGACGAAAGCCTCAAAAACCTTGCTGCAGAGTTCGGCGCACTCCGCCAGCTGTGATGAGATTAAGAAAAGCCCTGCAGAAGCTCACTGGCGGACACGCACACTCTAGAAATACAGTCAACGAACCTTCAACGCTCCCCAATAATCTGAAATTCAAAATGGCGCCCGCGCCCCGCCCTCCCACAGTAGCCCACAGGTCCGCGCGCGCCCTGCGGGGTGGGAACTCCGGGGGCGCCGGGGGCGCGCTCAGGCGCGGGCACGGCCTCAAGGTGGCTGCGCGCCTGCGCGAGGGCGCGTGGCAGACGGGGGCGCGCTCGGCGGGGGCGGGCTCTGCTAAGCGCCCAGGAGGATCCTAGGAGCTGGACGTGTCCGCGAAGATGGCGGGCCGGGTGAGTGCCGGTCCGGGAACTGCAGCTCAAGGCGGGGGTGCTGGGCTTGCCGGCACTCCGATGTCCGGACGGCCCAGGGGTGGGCAAATGGGTCTGAGCAAATGGGGCATTGGAGAGGGCAGCAGGCCAGAGCAAGGCTTGAGAGAAAGGGGAGCAGTGGCAGGGGAATAGCCCTTCTCAGACTCCATCCCCCTAAGAAAGCTCGAGGGGAGGTGAGCCCCTGGCTTCCAGGGTTTCCTGGGTCTCCTTTAAGTCCCCTTTGCCATACTTTGGGGCTGTACCCCTTGCCCCTGAAGGCAGCCGCAGGGTTGTGGCCGTCCCATCCCCGTCTGATGGACTCTGGGGGGTTCTCCGCACCCCCTTGCGAGGGCTTATTAGGTGCAGCCTCTGGAGTAACTGCGGAGGATCCGTGTGCTGCATTGGGACGAGAGCTGTGGGAAGGGTCATTAGGAACCCATTTCTGGTTCTTCATAGTGAAGGGTCTTGGGAAAGGAGGAAGGAGTGCAAATGACTAGTGTTAAACCCCAGCTGTGTGGGGGACCCGTCACTGCTGGATCATGCAGTGTCTTTAGCGTGAATGTCTTAAGCTTGGTCAGGGGGTTTGGGGTATCGCATTTTGCTTTTATGACTGTAGTCGCGTCCAATGCAGCAGAATGTGTTGTAGTTTCAGGGTTTTTAATTTTACTTCCTCCTCTAACCTCTAAGATCGCAGTGTAGTATGGGTTTGGCGAGGGGAGGTAGGGCTGGTTCTGTGCTGTATTGCAGAGTGCGTTGAGCTGTAAGCTTTCCGAGGGATGGATCCTGCCCAGAGATTACACTGATCATAAACCTGGGAACATTAACTGCGTCATTAGGGGATAAGGATGTGCTATCCCCTGATTATTTTTGCTAGAATATTTGAATGTTTGCATAGACTTAAGCACACATGCAAATGTCCTATCTTAAACAAATCGTCATGGGGTTGTCATGACTGTAAAGGTCATTTAATTCTCTCTTTCTCTTCCTTTTCCCTATAGCCTCTCCTTTTTATCTGTGGCTACTCTGTCCACCTATGTTTCAGATTCTGTCTTTCCAACCCCAGGAACCCCATTTTAAAATACTCAAGCTCTCCTATCTCAAAACAAACCCTCCCTCCACTCCACACCTGTCACCTTTTCTCTTTCCACTTTACAGCCAGAAATCGTGAGTAGAATTGTCGGCATTTATTGTCTCCCATTTTTTATCACCTGCTTACCCCTCAACCCACAGCAGTCAGATTCTGGCTGTGTCATTCCACTGAAATGTGTCCCTAAACTTAACTGACATTTTTTATTTCTTCTCTTGCTTCATGTCTCAAAAGCATGTGGCATTGTTGATTGACCATTGCCTCTTTCATGGCAAACGCTCTTCTTGTGGCTTCTATGAAGCCTTGCTTCTGTTTTTACTCATACCTTGCTTTTGCAGACTCACCCTCCTCTGCCCTGTTATTCAGTGCATATATTCCTCAAGGCTCTCTTCTCACTCTCTGTTTTCTCCTTGGACAGTTTCTTCTAAGCCAACAGGTTCAAATTCTATCTATATGTCAGTGATTTTCAATATTGTATTCCCAGTCTAGACCCGTTTTTTAAGTTCCAGATCAGTATGTCAAACTAGCTATTCAAAACTAGGCACCTCAAATTGAACTTGTTGAAATGCAAACCCACCATCTTTGCCCACCAATTAGTACTTTTCCTGTGTTTCCAACTTCAGGGAGAGGCACTACCATGCATGCATTTACATAGGCTAAAAACCTGGGGTGGGGTATGGATGTCATCCTTTATACCTATTCTCTTTCACCACATCCTTCAAACCGATCGAGTTCTATCTGCCCCCCCCCCAATGTATTAGGACCAAAGAATGTGGCTTGGGGCATTGCTGCTGTACACTATACCCAAATCACCCACTGGACTGGTCATACGGGTTCTGTCATTTTAACACCCTATAAATCTCTTCAATCTGCCCACCTCTCCAACATCTTCAGTTTTCACCTCCTTTTCCCAAACTACTGTCATTTCTAGTCTAAACTGTTGCAGCAAGCTCTGAAGTGGTCTCCTCATGTCATTCTCCACACTGATTGGTTCCTTCTGTGCCCATTCAACCCCGCCCTTGATGGCATCTCATTACTCTTGGGAGAAGACCACATCTGTAACTAGGCCTGTAAGGTCTTTTGTGGTTCTGCTCCTGTTTCTCTCCACTACCCTCCGCACTCTGTATGCTCAGGTTATATAAACCTTTCAGTCCTTTGAGCCTACAGTGGTTTCTCTCACCACAAGGTCTTTGCAGGTGCTGTTCCCTTTCTTCCTCAGGTTGTGCTCCCAGCCATTTCCCTCCCACTCAGATGGCTCAGGCCCTCAAAGGAAGTCTGTTCCAACCCCACACTTCCGGTCTTGATCCTTTGCTGTATGCTCTTGAGGAACTGTATTCCTTTCCTTGGAGATTTATCTGTTTGTTATTTTAAATTTATCAGTGTGATTGTTTGCCTCTCCCATTAGACTTTACCTTCCATTAAGACTACGTTTGGTTTTTACTCATTATCATCATCTGTGCTTTGCACACTATCTGGGACCTAGGTGCTCAATACATATTTTTTAAAATGTGAATTTAATTTCACTGTGAATATACTAGGGATAGAGGGTGCATCGTCAAAAAGCTAGCCCATTTTACTGCCCTGTTAAAAAGATCTTTCTTTATATGGAGTTCCATGTAAATTATAGGCCTAAATATTATTTGTGCCATTTAGAGCTACATAGAGCTAAACTATTTCTTTTTCATATGATAGCTGTTCAGATACTTGAAGACAGTTTACATGGTTCCTCAGATTTTCTCTTTTGCAAGTTAACCATCCCCAATTCCTCCAATATCCTATGTTCCAAACCCTTCATCTTGTAGGTCACCTTCCTTCTGAAACACTCTGTCATGTCACTGTTTCTTCTCAAATGTGCTGCGTGCAACATAGTGATCAGTGAAGAATATACTTGAACTATGTATGTTCTCTTGAGCTGTACAGTACTACTATTAATACAGGGTAAAATTGAGTTTGCTTTTTTTCTCCAGTAAATCACAACTTTTGGCTCATACTGAGCTTATAGTCCCACTAAAACTCTAATGTTTTTTAAAATCAGCACCCCCTCCCCTATTCTAGGTATTGTACAGTTGTTTGCTTGAACCAAAATGTAAGGCCTTACATTTATCCCCTTTACAATTCATTGTTTTAGGTCAGGGCGTATCTGCTACTTGTTGAAGGTCTTCTTGAGTTTTAATTCTTTCCTGTTATGAAACATAGTAGCTCTCTCTTCTAGTTTAATAGTAGTGATTCCCATGTCTACATTCGCGTCCTTGATAAAAGGTCCTTGGAATAGCCCTTGACCATGCTGTTAGAGACCCTCTGCTAGGCTGACACACATCAGTGCACTTTTGGTAATTTATTTTACCTAGAACTTTTTGGAGATTGCTGTCAAAGTTTAATTTTCAAAAACCACAGTTTTTTGGAAAATTCGAACACCTTTGGTCCATTTCCCATTGTCTTATTTCTTCTGATAGCTATACTTTTCTAGTAAGGACCTGTCAGTGTTTAGCAAATAGAGAGTCAGCCTTGTAATATTCTTATGGATTCTGTATTTCTGTTTTGTGGGAGAAAAAGGTATTTTGAATTATTGCTTTTGCTTAGTTTAGTTAATTTTGGCATTCCAGCATCATCCTGTAAATGGCAGTTATATTCACTATGTCGTCGAACTTCTGTGTGTGTGTTGTGTGTTGCTGTAACACTGTATCGCTGGTTTTTGCCTTAATAGCATTACTTGCCTGTGATGTATCTTGTCCTTTGCTTTTTCTGGCCGGAACAGAAAGCATCGTATTTAGTTCTTCTGGGAAATGGGCTGCAGGATAAAATGTGTGATGATACAGCATTGAGGACATGAGAACTTGATTAATCCCTAGAATATCTTAAAGTCCCTAATCTGAAAAAAGAACCTAAAAGAAAAGAATTTTTGTCATTATTGTTCTAGTATATTTATTATATAAGAAAAATGTAGAATGATAAATTGGATATATTTTATAATAAAATGATCAGTTGACTTAAATTTATCTGGTTTCTTTTAGCCTTTCAAAAATGTTGAATTAAGTAATAAGTTCTCTCAGCTATTTTAAATTTTTGCTACTAATAACGCAGATTCTAAAGGTATAATTATTACTACTCACGTTGAACATGGGCACTTTAAGATGAGCTCCACATTCAGGCAGTTACTACAGCCCCAGGTCTGCACAGCATCTTTTAGAATTCTCATGCTCTGGAGTCATGGAATCAGAAGTAAAGACAGACTCTGAAACACAGCCTTAATGGTGTAGGAGAGCTGCCCCTAGGTAAGGCCAGGCTTCTTAGTAAAGCTGCTCTATGTGGTGTTGCTTTCTAGGCCTCTTATATTACCACCACCACCCCACTACTGAAAAAAAAGAAGAGAGGAGAAGAAAGGCTTTTCCCATTGCCTGAGCTTCTTTGTAATCGTCTTTTCAAATTGCCAGAAATTTCGCTTACCGGAGATCCAGAAGTTCTTTCTAAAAATATACATACATTAATGCAAATAAACCAGGGGATCACTTTCTTCCTTACCTAGTTGAGATGACTTGTTGTGAAGAAATAGAGGATGATGAATGTTAAATGGGCCTCTAAGGGAGAGAACTCGCTTAGGAGTCGAAAGGTGTATAGAAAGATGCTAGAGGTAAAATTTACCTAGACCAACAGTTTGACCACACAGGTTAGTTATTAGTATCAGTTAGTATTTTGAAGAAGTTTTTGTAGCCTAGTCCAGAAACCTACCCACTTACACTTTATGGGTGAATGATATCTTTACCAAATAACTAACCTTTGAGTGAAGTTTTAGAGCACAAGTTATAAGTTGGAGATAGCTCATGTACAATACCACAAGTCAAAACAAAGAATATAAAATGTTTCACAGTCCCATTCTCTAAATCAGTGTTTTGCTATC